GTTCTTTCAACTACTGGGACATTTTGCAACTATCGGTAAAAGCAGAACTTCACAGCAGAAAATTTTAATTAAAACATTATTTCTTTATCTATCAGATGATGGAGCAAAGATAAAAATTCTGCAATAATTGGTTTTATTGTTAAACAAAAATGTATGAATTTTTCTTATGCATTATATTTTAACACTTAAAAAATTTACTATATCGATAAAAAATTGCGACATCGCAAAATATTCTAGGCAAGCATTCCTGCAGAGATTCCGTTACATCGCTAAAATTGCCATAAGAATGCTATATTGGCAATACCATGAACACGTTTTCTCCGTGTAGCAACCATTCCGCTTACCGGTCATTTTCTTTTAATTTATTAATCTTCCGTTTCTTTTATTTTTTCCTTATCATTTCAACACTGACGTTTTATTCAGGATTTAGCTTTTATTTTAATTTCTAGTTATAAATAGGTGAAATTAGCTTAATAACAAAAGATAATTTAAATCATTATCACAATGAAATTTTATATCGACCAACTATTTGGATAACTGATGTGATATTAAAATTTAATAACATTCTTCTGAAAGCAGTATTCCTTTTATAAAAATACTTGGTAAAATTCTAGTTTACAGTGCAGCCTTGGCGCAATTTTGAAAATTATCGCCTACACCAAAATGACCCGTTTAACTACTCATCGTATATGTCCTGTTTACTGCTCATCATAAAGTTGCCAAAAGTAGCCAAATCCCTTATGCAACGGATACCTTGTGCATAGGATTAAACCAAATCCTTAATTGTCTATTGAAGCTTCAAAACGTATTTCCGAACTTCACTTTTTTTCGGCTAGCGTTACCGAATTTGCCCTTGGTGACCTAAAATCGAAATGGAGCCAACAGATTTCCTGCGAAATCGATAACAGATCCTCTGCAGAAATAAACTCATAACCCCCATATCCCATACATATATATACAAAAGAGAATAAACTCCGTAGAAGGTGATCAAAAATTAATTTATGGCTTAATTCAAACAAACACAGAAATTAAGGTAAGCAAAACCATGTAAAAACAAATTGAAATGATAAAACAAAACTTAGCTTTCATGTGAATTTTCACTGCTGACTCTCCCATTCTAGAAATTTCAATTTGTTTCAAAGACCACATTTAGCTTTATAAGGATTGTCATCCATCAATATCTAGTCTTTGTAGTCAGCTTGATGAAGCCACAGTTTATTGAAAATGCACTTTCCAGGCATCTCGTTCCTATTGGCGTCGGAGGGGTTGTGGCCTTCCAGATTGGGATTGTTCTAATTTTGGCAAATATTTTCAGAATATCCCCCCCCCTTTTTTTTTTCCTCGAGCACCTTCATCATCACTTTCGCCTCTTAAAGAACTTCCGGCTTCATGCTTTCATCACAATCTGCCTTCGTCCTAGGATAGCTAATTGTTTTTTTATCATTTGCAATGCAAATCCGCTAACAGATTACTTAAGAGCCGTGTAATTTTAATTCCATATTCATGAGAAATTACAATTTACACTTAGAATAGCAATCATTAGAAATGATAAGAAATGTCAAATGAGCAAAATTAAGGACCGTTTATTCATTTTGACCAAAATTAAGGGATTTTAAGGGCCGCACGAACCCTGATATTAGCAGCCGTAAAGGTCTTACTTCAGCACGACGCATGCACAGAAAGTTTATAGCTTTGAGGTCCGGATTATAGATCATTCCGGATTATGGGTGTCCGAATTAACGACTTTTGACTGTATATAATAACTAGGCATTCTATAGAATGACAAATGCACTTTAGGCAAAATATGAAAAAAAAAAGGTCAAGATAAGGCTATTTATTTAAAAGATATTCCTTCCTCAAAAATATAAATATTATTTTGGAAAAAAAATGAAAAAGTGAAATTAAAAAATTTGTATTCAAAATACATGAAGAAATATTTAATGTTGTATGAAACAAAATTTACAAGCTTCTTATTAATCAGAAATTAAAATTAACCTATCTGTTGTAACATGGTAAGTTTAAATGGTATTTTGAATTCACTTCATTACTTTTTTTCACACAAAGACATTTTATATTTCAGCACTTTGTTTTACACATACACGGCAAATCCTTGGCCACTTCCATTTGACTGAGCAATTGCAACTGACAAATTTTGGGGTCAGGAATACATTCAATTCTAAGCATGTTCTTAGAACATAATGGGCCAGCATCAGCGTGAAATTTTTCACACTATTTCTAGCACCTCAAGTAATTCCCAGGGAATCAATGCCTACATAACTAAACAGTGATCTTAAGGAAAATCCTTAATTGAAAAGAAAAATGAGTCCCTAATCTCTTAGGTTGGTGTCATCTGGTGAGGCAAATCAATGTCATAAAGGTAGCAAAAAGCCTGAATTTGTAAATTCAGGACCTAGAAAAGGCAGCTCGAGTCGCCATTACTGGAGTAAAATGAGTAAATTTAGAGTTCAACTTTTAATATAACTTCAACAGATTTTCATTGCAAGAATAATGTTTTGAAGTCATTCATTTGCGTTTTGGCATTCCTCTGCTAACAAGATGATTTCTTTAATGATGGATCGCCCTTTAGCATCCATCAACTGCTTGAATATTTCTTCTACAGGAGGAGAATTGTCAGGGGCTGGTTCCTGCATCCTATACTTTTCGATAATTTCAGCCTTTTTTTGGGTTTGCACTAGGAGGGGGGCATCTGGATCTTTGGTGATTTTTCGGGAGTCTGATTGAAGTAGGCAGCTTAAAGATAATTCAAAGGGTGATTTTGCAGGTATTTAAAATACATAGGTTTTAATTACTTTTTAGTTCACAAGTGTAAGTTAAATGCTCACTTTGGCATTTTAGGCATCTAGGTTTGCTGAAGCATGTTGATTGACCAGAGTTTTAAATTAAATTTAAATAAATTTGATTACTATAACTGTGAATTATTGTTTTGCCTGACATAAAATTCCTTTTGTTTTAATACAGAGTCTTCAGTAACCAGATGGTTAAATTTGCATATATTTTTATATATATACCTGTCTGATGTCATTGCACAGGGTTCTTCATGCTAGTGTTACTGTTTTGCTCTTGACAAAATAGAGACTGACTCATCTATCTGCCTTTGCTAGAAACAAGGGGTTTTCATCCGCAGAGAACCCTTTGGCGATTCGGGAAAGAACTCGTTGGCGCCATTGCATTTTTACTCGCCAAACTCGCCATTCATCGACGATGAGCCGAGCCGTAAACGTGATTTTTAGTGCATGTAAATTCAAATTAGCAGACAAAACAATAAATTAGGCATATGGTAGTAAAAATTCACAGATAATAAGCATGTAGGTGTAAAACTAACGGGTTAAACGTGATATACGAAAATAAATTTGTATTAAATTCAAGTTAGCACAGAAAATAATATATTAAGCAAAAGACAATATATAAGGATTTATAATGGAAATAAAAATTCATTTAAAAAATATAAATTAGTAGTAATATACTGAAATTAACTGGTTAAGCATGATATATGAAAAAAAAATTGTCTTAAATTCCAATTAACACAGAATACTATATATTCCTTACACCAGCAGTGGTTTGCAAATTTTGATGACCATGGTGATGCACCAAACTATTCTGTCATCTTAGATAATCAATAATATTTTTTATTTCAATTTAATCATCTATTTATGTCACACCTGCCATCCTCTGAAAGGTTATTGTTAGAAAATATCTAACATATATCTACGAAAATACCAATTTGGTTGTTAAAAAATTCAGAAAAAATAATAATAAATAAGAGAAGAATAATATAAATCTGCACATGCGAACAACGACAGTGATAATTCAACAAAATGAACGCATGAAGAATGGTTGCAAACTTCGAACAAGAGAATAGGATAAATGCGATGGGTTACCAGGTTTGAACTATTATCGCCAAAGTTGGCGATGTTTACATTTACCGGGTTCTCTGTGGAAGTGCTTCCGAAACAAGCAAGCATATGGCTAATAATAATTGAATTTGTCAAAAGTTATTAATTATGTTAAATATAAAAGATCATTTAATTTTCAATTTTTAACTGTTTATGATAAAAATATTATCCTTCATTTTTATACTTATTGCAGCATTTTGTATTAATTTTTCACAAAAGCTTTAATTTATCTTCTATAAAAAAAAATCTTGATACCCCTAAAAATGAGTAGTAAAAAAAATTGAAAACTTGTCATTTCAACGAAGACAGCGATTACTTAAAAAGGAAATTTGGAGAGAGATTTTAAAGCTTTTCATAACAAATATGAGATAGATTATCTGACAAATTCTAAATTACAACATTGCAGAATTAGAGGTCTAAAAAAAAATCAGGTAGGAAGTCAACAAAATGTTTTAAAAAGCTTATTTTTAAGTCTCGAACTGCAACTATGGCATCATTTAAAATAAGTTCCCTTTCAGGAAAAAAAAAAAAGTAAACCATTTTCTGATAGTGAATTTTTGAAGGAAATTCATTTCATAAATTTATCAACAGAGTTCACATTTTCCCCTTAAAATTAAAAGATAACAAAAAGATACAGACAACATTGCTTTTACAGTGGTTGATACTAAGAAAAAAATTTCACTTCAGCTGATTGTGTGTCAACAACTTATTTAAGTTGCACAACAAAAACAAATTGCAGTTTTGTTTGCTTGGCTAGCAAAGTTTATAAATAATGGTATAAAGTTTTTCATTAACTTTTTTGCAATAATGAAACACCTTTTCAGAAAATTACAACTTTTACAATCAATGTAAATTAATCTATTTCGATATAATAACAATTTTTTTGATTATTTTTTATAATTGTTATGATTTTATATATTTTTATTTAACATTTGATTCTGCAATTATTGGAACCACCACGCGGCTCTAAAATTACCCACATTTCTGATTTATGCCTTGCCGACAGTAGATTTGAAATATACAGTACTTTGAAGCTTGTCATATAAAATAAATAAATATATAAATTCAGAATATTTGATCACTTACATCATCACCTTCATCTACAGTAGAGCCTTCTTCCAGCAAATAATTTACTATATTTTTTTGACTCCCTGAAGCAGCCCAGTGAAGTGGAATACGTCCAGACTGCATATGAAATATGTACATGACAAAACAGAACTTCACGTATACATTAAAATATATTTCAAATGATTTCAAAAAAGTTTTACAAATTCTAAACTTCACACTATCATTTTACATATTTAGGTATAATAAAATATGGCCCTGATAATAAATTTTCAGAGTTGTATACTTCTAAACTCTCATAAAATATACTTTGCAGAATCATTACCATTATTTTTACTGAAAGTGAAGAAGGTAATAAATTAAAAATAAACTAGAAAATTATAGTTTCTGAATAAAGAGAATGATATATTATTGCATTAAAATATTACCCCATCCTTTGTTTCAATACACGAACTGTCTTTTTCAATTCTTTCCTTTAGTTTTTCAAATTTTCCTTCATAAGCAAACCGACATACTTCAAGATCTGACATCTTTCAAATCAAAACAAACTCAAACTACGATGTCATGCTTCAGAAGAAGGTGTGTTGAAATGTTTCCGCACTGCAGCACATAACAACATTAACAATTCGCAATCCTTAACAGCAAAAGCGTAAATCACATAATACTAATAAAGTTACTACGTAAAGAAATTCAGTTGTGAAATACTTTGTAGGAATAAAACAGTACGCGAGGATATCATGTCTATTTTATGGGGTAGGCTTATCATGTATCAAGTCTAAACGGAACACTGAGATCGCTCAAATGGCTCAAACCGGATGAAGGCTAATCGTAGCCAAGAAAGATGGCATAAAACACTTTCACCGTTCTAGGAACAGAGCTCATAAAAAAAATTTGATATTTTTATCAGAGATTAATAATATTTCTTCTCAGTTGTATTATATACATTTGGGTGTCAGTGAGGACGTACAAGAAAATGTTAACTGATTACTTGCAATGCACATAAACAGATGCTAAAAAGATATACAGTAAACCATTTCTGAACATCGACGAGTACAGGAGGGAATGACAAACCAACTGAATGACTTCCTACACTGTTCTTGATCGACGTGATGACTTGATCGGAAACTCTATAATTGATTTTCCCTACGATTTTTTCACCCTAATGTTCTCCTCTTCTATGCTCGGACACATTACCAGATCTAAGGCTCCTTACCAGATCGAAAATCGTCAACATTGTTATCTGGGGATAGCGTTGCCGCGCGGGTGCCTGATGTTTGCAAATTGCGTTCGCCTGAGTCGACAAATCAAATGAACACTGAAAATAAATCAAGTATTAAAAAAAAAAGTGCAGAAGATGTATATTTTTACTTAAATTATCAATAATTACGCGTTAATAATTATTTGCTATTTTTAATTAACACTGTTTGTTACATTACAGACGCAAGGATATTTTGCCAATACGTACAGCGATAGGCTATTACGAAAAATCCCTTAGTAGGGGAAAGTATCACGGCTGTCCCCATAGAGGATATACGTCATCGGATGACAACCATATCTACTATAATGAACATCTACTGTAATCTACTATCCGCGATTCAATTCACCTATAGATGGCGCTTTCACACATTAGTATGGAGGATAAAACTCGGTATTTTGATTTGTGATCTGACTTCGTACATTCAAAAATGCAGTTACTTAGCTCTTCCGAAATGTTTGATTTTGTTCAAGGAGGCGTAAATTCTCGCTGTATTACTGAAGCAGAGAGCATTTTAAAAAGCTGATCATTTGGTAATGCACGGAATTTTACTTGAAATTCAATGTACAAGTTTTGGCTTTCTATTTAAGGATAAGTTCTATAGCATCCTGATCGCATGAAATCGAAATTAATATTATTTTTCAGACTTTTTACTGTCGCACTAAATGTAGAAGCTGGACAATTTGAATATTTCATCTAGCCTCTTCATTTAATGATTTAATGTATTTTTACTCCTACGAAATATTTTAATGACAAACTTATTCATTCATTTACATGTTTATCAGATAATATAAAATCAATATGTATATCTGGTGTTACCAAAGGTTTTATTATCCTTAGCATTTTTTATATGTACTATAATTTTCTTAGTAAAAGTGTTGTATGCAACAATTACATACTGGCAATGAAAATTTTAAGATTGCGCCAATTAAAAAAAAAAAAAAAAAAAAAATCGCTAAATCTTAGCACTGATGAGGCATCCAATATGCATATATTTTCGATGAGGCTTATAGTTACAGGTATCAACACTGCATAGAATCGACACCATTTCTAGTTACGAACATATAAGCAACACGATCAAATCAAATTTTTATAATGACATAATAATAGGTAAGAGAATTAATGCATATTTGTCCCAGAAATACAACTAAGATAGAATATGTTTGAGATAATAAATACGGTTGCATCTTTAAATAACTATGCAAAATCTTATTTCTTGCAACTAAAAGGCTGTGTATTCATGTATTATTCTTATTCTACTAAATGTTCTACACGTTCTTATTCTACTAAATAAAAGCTTGTTATAAATAAAACAGGAATACATAAACAATCTAATAAATTACTGAACTGATCCAAATCCACTGTCCTTGCCTTTATTTGCTAACCTGTATATCTGTATACACATGTCTGTGCACGCTGTTTAATTTACTAAAGTTATTTAGTTATATGCAATCATATTTAAAGTTATTAATCATATTTAGTTATTTATAATCATATTTAAAGTTATTTAGCTGAATTTAGTTATATGAAATCATATTTAAAGTTACTTAGTTATATGCAATCATATTTAAAGTTATTTAGTTATATGCAATCATATTTTGAATAATGGCTGAGAAATGAAATTACTTAAAAGTCTCTCCCCTATCAATACTTATCACTGAACAAATACTTGGGTGTTTTACAATACAGAACAACAGATTTTCTCGAAAAAGATACATGTGCCCGTTTGATATTTCAAGTGAGAAAAAATACTTTCATCATTAGCTAATTTTCACCATGGAGAAAATTTTTTAAGCTACTTTAAAAACTTTTTATTACTAATACTTACTTCAAAACGAACACTGCTATAAAAGATAAGAAAAAGCATTTAACTGTGCTCAGCGAGTAACAATGGTATGTATATCATTTTATAAGAAATTGTTTGGTGCATGCTATTATATAGTGGAAAAGATTTGACATCTGTAATACTTTTTATACTATTACTCATACTAGATCATCATAACTATTTTCTGAACTGGAAATTTTTATGCTAACTATCCTGAACCACTGTAAACAGTTCTAAATAGTTTAACAGGAAATGACTTACACACAGAAATTTCAACATTACTAGAATATGAAATTCAAAGTTCATCATTAAAGTTAAAATAACTAACTTTTACTTTTATATGTGCCATTCTATAAATTTTCATTTAAATCATTGCTAACATAAACTGAAAAACAATTTAAATTTCTGCAGGTAAAATACGCATGAAAGCATAATTGTATATGTATGTGTATTAATAATATTTAAGAGATTAATGAGCTATAATGATTTATACTTCAATGCACAAATATGCATGTTTACTTTCGAAGAACACACATACACATTTATATGTATGATACACGAGAAAGAAATTTTGCATATATAAAGAAAACTTTTCTTACGAGAAAAAATGTAATCAGTTTTTTTGAATGCTTAGAACGCACGTTCATATAATGTCCAGCTTTCTTTCTAATTCGAAATACGCGAATCCACCCTCTTCGTTTTGCTATAGTGTTCTAGAAGTTTTGCTATCTCGTTCGATATTTTTCGAACCAAGAATGCGATGGAAGCATAACTCAGGTTCCTTGCAAGCTCGTGATTTACACTGGTGTACACAACAAAACGTGTGGACTGTACTTCTTTCTAAGTTATACATATGCCCACAACAATAAAAAATAAAACGTTTAATTACTTTTCGATCATAACACGCTTCACAAACTAGGTAGCATCAAAGCTGTATATATAATGAAACAGCTTTGGGTAGCATTGTCAAACGTAAATACCGAGCTTTAATGTTTCCACCTTTTAACCACTAGATGGCGTATCAGAGCGCTGGAATCGCGGACAACCATCTACTGTAATGAACTCTTTCTCCCGTATTTGGCATCAAGGCTGTTCTCCGAAGAATGTCCCATTTCTCTGCTGAACTTAATTCACATATCATTTTGGTCTTTTGTACTGTTTTGTTGCCGGCATCGGAGTCGGCGCCAAATATATCGCTAGTGTGGCCAATGTCTACTTCTACAATAGTTACGATCTTTGCTTTAAAAAAAGTAATAGAATACGTTTTCGAAATTGGCAACGAGAATACAAATCCTAAAAATGCAACTGGAATTTGGTTATTACTTCCATAAGTATATATACTGATTATGGAAGTTACTGGTATGCATGATCCTCCAGGTGTTATATTGGAAACATTCGGCCCTTTATGGTTTGGCTATAACTGTCATCCTTGATGAAATTTATTAATTTAAGTGTTGAGTTATAGAATTGACTTAATGCGGAAAAGACACTGTTTTGTCAAAGAACATAAAATAAAAAATAAAATAAAAAATAAAGAGACAGAGAGAAAGAAAATGCCTCTCAGATGTGTTTGCGGTTTTCATATGAACTGCAGTCCAATAAAATTACATCCTCATTTTCGGAATTGTTGAATATTTTGAATAATTTCTGCAAAATCTGTAAAATAATTTAAGAACCTTAATATCAGAAAATTTAACAGAATTGATTTTGTTTATTTATTTATTCCTTTACTTATTTTATAAATCACGGACTGTAATTGACTAAGAATGAAGTTGTGACGCAATTGCAAGATGATAGACGATTGCAAAATTGATAGACGATAGACGATTGATTGATAGACGATTTGCAAGCAAATGACTAGTACTTTCTCGTGGAACGGAGTTTGATACACCTGGGTGCCTAGCCCAAATCGAACATATTTGAAAGTTTTAGAAATATTTTAGAAAGTAACTTATTTGAGATGCAGTAATTTTTTTAAATTTAAATTTTGAAGAGATTTATGCATTATAAATTAAAGCCTCAATGCTATCTAACTGAATCTATGTTATCAAGGCAATTTTGAATCAATAGGTCTCAAGTGGTGAACAAATACATACAATACACACAAGATATAAATCTAAATATACATAAATAAAAACAAAAGAATACCGAATGACAGGAAAAAATAAATATAAAAACCAGACTTCTATGATTGCATTTGGATTGAGAACGGACATTGGTCTTTTTACTTCCTTGTACGAAATAAAAAGGAAGTAATGTAATCGCGAAAAGTTTCAGGCAGCATATTTCAACGAAAATATCCATTTTGACCGCTATCGAATGCAATTTAACGGTGTTTTTGCTTGATATCTGTACGTAAGGACAGAATAAAATTCTCTTTTCCTTCAAAAAAATTATAAAACTGCTTAAAATTAATTCTGAAGAGAATTTTTCATGGCGTCTGTACGAACGTATCTCGCATAACTTAAAAACGAGTAACCTCAGAACGTTGAAATTTTGTATATAGGACTGCTATAACATGTAGATGTGCACCTCGTATTTTGGTTGCAATCGGCCGCACCAAACGTATATAAATATTTATATATATATATCCACTCTGTTACCCGGCTTAGTGATCTCGGTTTCTTTAC